GGGACTCTCCAACACGTGTACAACTACGAGGTGTGCAGGACGACTGACTCCAGAAAGAGTGACTGTAAGTTCGGCAGAGCTGGTAGTCAGAACGTGCTGATAATGGACCCCAGTTCTACAGGGACGATGCAGCGGATACAGAGTGAAAAGAGCATCCTGGATGAACCAGACTCTCCTCTAGAGGTTAGATTTCATTAAGTTAGTACTTGTTCTTTTGCGTTTGCATGTATATAGTTACCATTCCATGCATACAATTAATGTACGGTAGTAAAATTCTGTTGTCACTTTCAGCACCAGAGACAGAGTTTTCAGAAAACTTTGATTACTATTTCTACACATATATCTTATGCATCCTACTAAGTACACTTGTGGTAAATTACAGCAACTCTGCCATAACTAATTAATAAATTGCATCTAATCTTCTTATCTTTGCACCTTTCCCAGCATTTATTACATCATTGTGGTTCAATCTTTATCACTATGCTCCAGACAGGATTTTTTTTGTCTTACCAGTGTTCCTGTAGTTATGCATGTTGAACTCTTAGGGACGCTGTAGTCCAGCATGTTGCTCGGGTAGAGTATATTATCATACGTGCCTCCCCATCTTTAGACGCAAACGAGGAGAGGAGGGTATTAGATGTAGCACACGGCAGTGTTAGAGTCGAGATTAAAACACCCATCTCGCTTGGACTATTCTCTTTTTCTTTGCTGAGGAATATACCCTGATTTTGTTCTTGTTGCTGGAATATATCGTGTTGCTCATTTTCTTCGACATTTAAACGTGCATTTCTGTCTTTGATATAATATCGAGGAGAACAATGAAACGGCAAGTACTGTTTTTCGTCTCGCTCCTTTTTGTCGGTCCCGTGCTCGGCCAGGTCACCTACTCCGTTAACGAAGAACTGTCTGTGGGCTCTGTTGTCGGGAATGTTGCCGACGATTTGGGTTTAAATGTCGAGAGACTGAAATCACGTAATGCTCGTGTGTACTTCGGCGATAGCAGAGAATACATAGAGCTGAATAAAGCCAGAGGAGTCCTCCTAATCAAAGAACAAATAGACAGAGAAACGCTCTGCGGACAGACGATGCCTTGTGCTCTGCATTTCCAGATTATATTAGACAAACCCATTGAATTTTACAGGATCATTGTTGAGATCGTAGATATAAATGATAATCCTCCTGCCTTTGAGAAGGGTGATATTAAATTTAAAATAAGCGAGTCTGCAGTTATCGGATCGAAGTTTGATTTGGAAGGGGCGGTGGACTTAGATGTTGGAATAAATGATCTCCAAACCTATCGCTTGGAACCGACTGATAATTTTGCTCTCAAACTACACAATCAAGCAGACGGCTCCAGGAATGTGGAGATGATTTTGAAACAACCTCTTGACAGAGAGAAGAACGAGCATCTGTCTCTAGTGTTGACGGCCGTGGATGGAGGAGAGCCTCGGAGGTCTGGAACAATGCAGATTCTCATCACGGTGTTAGATGTCAATGATAACGCACCAGTTTTCACAAAGCCCATATACAAAGCTACCGTTGCAGAAAATTCACCAAAAGGCACAGTTGTGACTACAGTCAGTGCATCAGATGCCGACCACGGATCAAATGGAAGAATAACGTATTCGATCAGAAACACGTTAGATAATGTCAGAGATTTATTTGAAGTAAATGAAAATACTGGTGAGGTTAGATTGATTGGAAATATAGACTACGAAAAATCACGTAATTATCAAATCAATTTACGTGCGAGTGACGAGGGAGGACTAACAGACACATGTAAAGTAATGGTCGACATTTTAGATGTAAATGATAATAACCCACTGATAGATGTAATGTCTAAAACAAATGTGATATCTGAAGATATTAAAAGTGACACTGTTGTGACCATAATTAACATCCAGGACTTAGACGACGGTGAGAATGGAAAAGTTAAATGTACAATCAATGAAAATATTCCATTCTTATTAAGGTCGACTGAAAATAATTTCTATAGCTTAGTGACAGACAGTGAATTAGACCGAGAGACAGCATCAGAGTATAACATCACAGTGAGCTGCTCTGATGAGGGAGTGCCCTCCCTCTCCAGCAGCGTCACTCTCACCTTACAGATCTCTGACGTGAATGACAACGCGCCTGTCTTTGAGAGGAGCTCATATGAGGC